ACAGGACAGGACAGGACAGGACAGGACAGGACAGGACAGGACAGGACAGGACAGGACAGGACAGGAGGAGAGGAGAGGAGAGGAGAGGAGTACCTTTTACTGCACCTAATTGGGAAAAGTAAAGCAGTGTAATTGAATAGTTACAGTACATTATTAGAAAGAACTCAAAATAAATTGTATACCATCAGCAAGATCTAGACAGTGTGATTACTTTACAACCCACTGGTTGTATTTTATGAAAGTTTGTCTCCTTAAAGTCTATGTTATATTGCAAAATATTTACATTTTTCAGAAGTCTTTTTGCCAAGCATGCTTTTTAAACTGTGAAATGACAGAACAGGCTCAGCAGAACATCATTTAGCTACTTTTTCTGTGTGGATGGAAATAGGAGCTTCCTCTTCATTTCTCCCACTCACTGATTCAGACTGAAACGCAGCAACGCGTTATCGCCCAGCCCCGCATGTTGACCTCCTGGGCGCTGCACGGCTAGATATTTTGTACAGTTCATTGTCAGGTCAGTGGCTGCATTTGTGCAAAAAGCCAAACAAATCATGAAAATTCAGCTCAGAGGGACAGACCAAGTCTGGCAGAAGCTGATATTGGAAAGTGTGCACTGGTGCATGCTGGAAACCCCTTAAATTGTTGCTAAAAGATGAACACACCCATATTTCTTATTAAAACTTGTGCTTAAAAAGTGCTCTATTTTAATGATCTCTTGTATTCTAAATCAACGCTCAGTCTCACAGATCAGATGGACGACTCCGATAAACCAACAGAGGTCTGTTTTACCAGAGCACCCGCTGGCACCCTGAGGTGTGAGATGGCCGACGCCCTAAGCTGCTTCATGGTGAACGGCCTGGAGGAGCTCATCAGCAGAGTGATTTGGATAAATACTAAAGACACACACAGCTTTCACTTCCCCATAACCCTGGCTGTGCCTTTTTATGTGCACCATCGCAGCAGCCACAGAGAGGTTGCTGTAAAGATGGTGGATAAGGAGAAGAGAGTGAGCTACATATCCCCTGTGACAACAGATGCAGCACATGGAGGCCAAAAGGTGTTGCTCTTAAAGCTATATAAGAGAATGTCTTTGACTAAGCTTTTCTATTTTTAGATGATTAACCAAAATATCTATTAAACAGGCATTACAGAGTTTTCAAATGAAACTGCCACATGTGGTCAAGAGTATCCACAAAATCCCTCTTGAATATAAGTCTTCAACTATTTGTTAGATTGGACTAACATGGGCACACTTGACGTCACATAGAACAGCACTAGAACATTTGACTAGGCTTTTTTGATGTCTTGGTTGATGTATTTATTTTTTTCCGATCATCATGTGATTTATTTTTGGAGTCATGTAAATCTGCATAAATAGCATAAGAAGGAAATAACAAATTACAAGCCTGTGTCAAACAGTATGAACAGGAAGTAGGAGCTACCATTTGTTTCATGACTCAGAACAAAGGACCCTGTATTTGAGGCAAGACAGACAGTAGAATACTTCAAAAAATTTTATTTAAAACATAGATGAGCGCCTTGGGTGTCTATCACAGGAAACTCTGTAAAAGGAAACACAGGTTAGTGACCACGTAAATCCAGTGTAGGAGAACATGAAAGCATTAGTCACTAACCTGGAATAAAACTTCAGGCCATAGTCAGAGAATAAGGTAGGATTGAGCCGATGGGCTGCCAATAGGATACAGGGCCTCCCAGAATGTCCCAGGCACTGCAGCCTCGGAGAATGGAGAACAAGCAGGAGTCCAAAGCCAGGTTAGGCAAAAAGATCTAAACAGGAAGGCTCAGAGGGCCAGGAATCTGAAGCCAGGTCAGGCAAGTTTAGAGGTCCAGGAGTCCAAAGACAGTTCAAGCAAACTGTTTAGACAGGAACAGGCAAGCTCAGAGGTCTAGGAGTCCAAAGACAGTTCAGGCAAACTGTTCAGACAGGAACAGGCAGGCACAGTTGTTTAGAGGCAGACCAGGTCAGGATCGGGTATTAAGAAACAATTAGGTAATGCTAAAATTCCTCTCACCCCTGATATCAGACTGGAACAATTCAGTCTGAGTTGTTGAGAGGCAGAATGGGTCAAGATCAGGAAATCAGAAACACCAAGGAACTCTACAAACACTCTCAGCACTGGCTAGAGAGAACAAGAATAATCTGGCTTGATGGCTGGATGCAAGCTCCTTAAATAGAGGCAGGAGCAGGTGGATCAGATGGGCAGTGATTAGAAACCAGGCAGAGTTAGACAGGTGAATGGAATGAGTAATTAAGCCAGCCATCAGCGCCAAGATCATGACAATTTGAAGTATTTGGATTTAGCTTTATGATGCATTCCGCCCAAATGTGTTCTAGTCATCCAAAATGTTTAAATGCTAAAACTTGGACACTGGGTCAAACATAGGTCAAGATTCTTTGACACTCTGGATGCTCAGCTCTTGGGTTGTTGAGTTGCTCTGCTCTGTTGGTCCTTTGATGAGTTGGGAGAAAATCCTTTTAACACATTTTGAGAAAAAAAGTGTGCATTGAGTTCATCAGGATTATGATTTTACTAAAATAATCAATTCTTGTTCAGAGAGGTAGACCCCCAGCATATCAGCAAGTTCCTGTGCTAGGACTCAACAGTGAATGCTCTCTGTATCTGGCCAGGCTTTCAGGGATTTCCAACTGCAGTCTTTAGCAACTAAAAGTGATTATAAAGCTTTTTCTTTTATTTGTATAAAAACTAAAAGTACCAGAATATAAAATCTAAAAAAATTGGCCAGCAGGTTTTAACATTCTTAGTTAATGTAAATATCTATAAATAGTTAAATAGGAAAATGTTTGAGAGTAGCCATAATGATCATAGCTCGCTCTTCTTGTTTATAAAAAAATCCATATTCCTGGCTTTTTAAAGGCTGTGGAATTTAACTGCAATATATTTCTTCATTTTCCATAAGCTGACAACTCTGCAGAAGTGATAACAGGTTGCATGTAGTGTCTGTCGCTCAGAAAACTCTTGGATCAGCTTTTCTGATTGGTTGACGCTGCGTTTCAAGCGGCTAAAATTTTTATTTCTGAACTCCAACATTAAACGCTTCGAAACTCGGACGGCTAATACTTGGAAGTGCTGCTCCTGATGTTTGGACTGACACATCTACTCCAGGACCAATCAACGCTGCCCGATGCTGCCCACCATTGACTTTGGATGTAAATCAAATACTTGAACACCCAGAATGAGTTTGGTCTGAACATACCTTTAGACTCCCTAGCCTAAAACAGACTGGAGCAATCATGGCTTGAGAGGTGGGAGTTTACATTTGTGTCTAAATTACCCATAATGCAATGGGGCTTTTATCTGATTGAATCTATCCTGTTTTCACTGACCCAAGAACTGGTTTACCTTCAAAACTGGGCCTTACTCGATTTTGATATGGCACATATAAAAGCCATAAGTCAAACCTGCTGGCCAAACAAAACAAACATAACGCCCATATTTTTACATCATATAAAAATGTCAATTTGCCTACAGCAGATTACCTTCATTTTTTCATGTGTCTTACTATTTGAAGAAAAGAATAATTACTATATGCATGTTTTTATATTTTTCTCAGGGTTGTTTTGCAGAGGTGAAGGTGTACTCCTTGGGTATATTTGCTGTTGTTTCACGTCTTAAAAGTGAAATGTACATTGTTCCCAAGAAGGGATTGTCATTAAAACTTCCCATGGACCCTCGGATCTGTCTGAACTACTCTCCAGGATCATTCACTGTTCCAATAATGGCCCAAACTATGGTATGGAGAAAATAGGTTGAGCACCACACCTTTTGAGCTGCTTTCACAGAGTAGAAGGACTAACAAACTTCATTATGAGAAACAGATTTTTCCAGATTGGCTCTAACACTTTAAAATTCAGTGTTAAAATTATTCTCATTAAAAAGCAAATGAAGATTCAAGGAAAAAAGATAAGCAGCAATACAGATTTGCTGCCACAGATGTTGGCTGCATGGGAAAAAATATAAACAGATGTACAGTGCATTTGAATGTACATGAGAGTGGAAACGTGTTTGAACTGACTTCACTGCAGTAGTTTGCGGCTTGATCTCACGTCAAGAAACATCCGCTCCCACTCTGCTCAGCTCACTTTGATTAAACAGCCAGCTGTCGGTAGAATTAAAGTGTCAGGAAAAACATGTCCTCATTTCAATCAGTGTCTTCTTCCAAATCCAGCCAAACAGATGTTTGCTCATCTGCTTCAGGTCCAGCCAGTGGATGCCATCCTCCTGGCTGCCATTAAGTCCAGGAATGATGCATATGAGTTGGTGGTCTCTGTCAGCCCTCTGCTCCACCTCACCCACCCTAAAACGCAGCCACTTAGGAGACCCCTCACAATCATCCTTCCATGTCCACCAAATCCTGAGAAAAAAGAGGAAACAAGAAGAAAAGAAAACCAGGAACCACAGGGCTGGGTTCCTAGTCATTTTCTGTCTCATTTAGACAAAGTAAGGTGGGTCTTAGATGTATCAAAACCAAATAATTTTTTATACAGAAACACAAAATAAACCTGCTTCATTTTATTGTTTTGTTAATGAGTTGCTTTTTTCCTTTATCTCTCTGGCAGAATCTTAAGAGCCTATGTCAAAACTAATGAGAGGACCAGGGAGTTTTTGACTGTTCTTGGCTCAAGAGACAAAGAGTGGAGTGTTTTAGATAAGACTGTTGTCAGAAACCAGCAGGATGGACTGGTGTCCTTTATTCTATATGAAAGCTTTGACAGGTTTGTAAATAAATATGTTTATTATTTATTATATTATTATTATTTAAATTTTTTATTGTCATTTTTGTCTTTATTTAAATGTAACCTTAGGGTAAGAGTGAGTGTGTGCATTGTTGTTGATCCTGTCTGTCTCTGTGATGGACTGGCAACCTGTCCAATGTGAACCCAGACTCCTTTCCTTCCTGCAATATAATATGCACTTGCCCTTAAAAAAGGATAAGCAGATATAGCCTTCTTAGTAGATTTAGGAGCATTTAGGTGTAAAATGAAATGTGAATGCTAGACCAGTGATTCCCAACAGGGGGTACTCATACCCCTAGTGGTCCCGGAGTGCATTGCAACAGGTTTATGAAATATGTTTTATTTCTTAGGCAGTAAAATAAAATAGGGCAGAGATATGTTCTACCTCGTGAGGAAAAAAAGAAACGAAAAGCTGTTTTTTTTCAACAAAAATGGAGTGATTGCGAGAGCCAAAAGTGTTTTTTGGCATGCCAGTTTTTAAAAATGGTCTATGCCCCTTGGGAACCGGCTTATGTCAATTGGAAACTGGCTTATGCCTGTTACTAACTAGCATCTGGTTTATGCCAGTTTAAAAACTGCATATGCCAGTTTCGTCAAAGGTCCTACATGGGTTAGGGTTAGGGTTAAGGTTAGGGTTAACCCTAGCACTGAAAATCCTAATTTGGGTTTATTAAACCAGTTTCAAACTGGCATAGGCTGGTTCCCAGCTCACATATACCAACTGTCACTTTTCATTCTAGGTGCTGCTGCCAAAATGTAAGGTTTTCTTTGAGTTCACCGTCAGATTTAACACACATCAAAACCAAGCAGAGGAACAGACTGGAAGTAGAGAACAGCCTGGTATCTGCTGTTTTTCCACATCTGATCAAAGCTGCTCAGGTGTCATGAATGTAGAAATCAAAGTAAAATAAATGGAGTCAGTCTGATTAAAAATTTTGTTTGGTATTTTGTTTCCAATTCATCAAGTTTATATGTAATTACAGGGGATTCACTCAAAAGAGCTCCAGTTTTATAGAGGCAGTTTATAATATGATTTTATTTTGTATTTATTTTGATTCTTTACTAGCTTCCAGGCAACATATTCATGTTGTGTTATATTTGAGATGGAAAGAATAAAATGCCTAAGAATTGAATTCTCATTTTATAGTTAGTTATTATTATTGTACATTCCACTTTTGGGCAGTCATCAATACCTTTGACTATGAGGGGTACTCATGGTAAGGAAAAATACCCAAAGGGATACATAACTCAAAAAAAGACTGGGAAACACTATGCTAGACAACTAAATACCCCCTAAGAACTGTACTTCAGATGTAGGTAACCTACAGGCGTAAAACATTAAGCTATTGATTTGATCTGAAATGTAAAGAACTAGGTTGTAATCTTCCTTCTCTATGCAAACAAGCTCCACTAGCCGCTAAAAAGCTTATCCCTTCCGCATGATGCTTTGACACACTATTTGGTTGCTTTGTTTTTCTCCTAATATTTTCTAACCTTGTCATTTTTACCAGATACCTCCGTCATTACCTCAACATTTTTAAATAATTGCATTTTAGTCAAGTTCTAATTCAACAGTTTTGGGGGCAGGGGTTCACTCATGGTAGGTGTTGTCTCAGTCCATAAACATCGCAAGCTTTTTTCTCTTTGGACATTAGTAGAGGTTTCAGCAGTTCTCTACCTATATAGTTTTGTTTTTTTATTTTGTTTTTTTTTATGAAACCATGTGAGGAAGAAACAAGGGATCACAAGTTATAGTTTTACTTCACAAATATCCTAATTAATACACCCAACCGGCACACTTACGGCTAAAACTATGTGGTATTTTTTTATGAGGTGTAATCTTCCTATATCTTTTACCGCATCAGCCTTTTTGTTTCTGCAGAAGTTGGTCAGTAATATTAGCTGATATTTAGACGAATATGATCTCATCTTGCTTCCTCTTTCTCCTTTAAAAAGTGTCTGTATGAAAATATGTTCACCACAAAGGAGAATGAAATAGATTTCTGCACCTGATCAGAGGACAGACACCGGAAAATGTTTTACACACTGTCAAACCTTAAGTGAAACCGTGTGGTTCTGTATCCTTGTGAAATGGCAGTGATGGTGATATTTGAATAGTGTTTCTTTATCTCTTTATCACCTGTGAGAGAATCTATGCAGGATTTCTGAAACTGATGTCTTTCCTACATATCAGACCACTGTAGACATCTGGCGGTAAAGCAGGGCCTTATAATAAATGAAAAACCAAGACTTTAGCATTTTCACAACGTTTTTACACCACACAAAAGGCACAGTGCATAATGGCAGTGAATATTAATCAAAACATTTATAATCATAGTAGAACATTTCTTCTTATTTAGAGATACTTGGAAGTCTTCAGTGCAGCTCTTCAAGCAGAGCTGCACAATATGTCTGAAAACCATTGTAATATTTTGTTCCTGCAGTGACTGGTTTTGATACAGTAGTTGTTATAATACAGTTTCAAAATATATAATCCAGTTTTAATTACTTAAATCACTGACAGAATTTTTAAAGAGAGCTCCTTTTATAAAATGTTTAACGGTAAGAGGAAGTAATTTTTTCCTTACTTTCTGTGACGATGTAGCTAAATGCAGTAGTAGAATTTTCAAAATTTCCCTACTTTTCTTGATGGGCCCTTGGCTGGTCGCCTAAAATTCCTTTTTAAACATCAATCTTGCACTAAAATGATGTTTCTGTCATGATTTGTGGACGTTAATATCTATAGAGAAGCGCCTTCTCCTAGTCAGACCCTGTAATTCAGTGAAAAGGTGGATTCAGAGTAGGGAAGTGGGCTGCCATTGAGCTGGCATTTGACTGGGAAGGGACATTTTAATTGGTTGCGACTGTATTACTGTTCAAAATCATTTTCAGTACTTTTTAAGTGTTATTTTACTGTTCCACATAAAAAACAAAGCAAATTTACACAACCGGCTGCCTGTCATAATTTATATTCCTTATTGAAACTGTGTAGTTGTTTTATTGCCATGCAGCACTTCCTCATCACTGTAGCTTTGTTGTTCAGCTTTCATTCAGACATAGGTAGGTCAGTGACTTACCCATGTCTGGTCATGCAGCCAGTTAAAAGGGGTTTTATAAAAGCAGTAAAGGGGTTTCTGAGGTTCATGTGGTATAAAGTGGGTTGAATGCTCCAAGATATTGAATTCAGCGTTTCTTTGTCAAGTTGTAAATTAACATAAATACTAAGGTTTTAAGATTCTTTTTGAAAGTACAGAGGAAAAAGAAAATCCAAGTTGATCTGCTTTACTTTCCTGTTGCAGAATTATGTTACATCTATTAAAGCTGGCTAAACTCATTTTTTCCTCCTGGAACTTTATTTCTCTTATTTCTTCTTATCTGAAATCAGTCTTAGTGGGAATAATGTATGTTAATACGTTTTTATAATTTCCTTACCCCCTTGTATTTCTGACTTCCAGTTGCTGATAACAGGCTCTTTTCACTCAGCAATAATCTAATCTCCTTTAATGAAGTTAAATTTCTTAAATATTTTTCCTCTTCTTTTAGACTGCTAGTATTTCGTCTCCTCTCACCGCTGCAGCCTTGTCACCTGACTGCACTGGCCGAGGAGCTGGAGTCTGCAGCCCGCCTCCATTCTGTGACCATTGTCCTCCGGTGTGGACGGGATGACCCTCACAGTGTCCTCCTGGCTGCGCTGCCCAGCAGAGACCTGAGCTGGGAGCTGAGCAGACTGCGAGCTCAGGGCTGGGATGGCCTCATTGAGACTTCCTCAGAAGTACTCCTGTGTGAAGGAGATCAGCTTCTCCTGCATTTTAGTGGCAACATCACATCTGCAGGTGTGACCTCAGGAAGAGTCATTTGTTTGCTGACCCTTTCAAGTCATATCGAGTCATATATCTTAAAACATATTTTTAGGTTTGATCACATTGACTTTTTAGGACACCTTAACAAATACTCAAATGTGGAAATGTTCACATCCATTTGCGGCCTTGCCCAT